TGGAGGTAAGCTTGCGCTGCTGTGGTCATATGGAAGGCAAGGGGCTCGCTTGAATGAAAACAAGTCTCCTGCAGCTCTGAGCTTTGTCACGTTGTGTTGCAGGCCCTAGTCAAAACTGGAACCAGGGATACAGCAACTACTGGAATCAGGGATATGGGAACTATGGCTACAACAGCCAGGGGTATGGAGGTTATGGAGGTTACGACTACACTGGTTACAACAACTACTATGGATATGGTGACTATAGCAGTAAGTACCAAACTTCTTGCAAAAAGTCCTAATCTGCTGCTTGTAAGAAAATTGCTGCTACAGATATAGAAGATAGATGGCTTTAAAACATACTGGTTTAGGCTTTCATCTGACTTAGCAGCATTCATCTTACGTATGGGGTCTTTGGTTTCAAACACCCCTCTGTCCCCACGTTTTCCGCTTTATGATGTCAAATGGGCATGGACAGTGGTCATGCAGTGGGGCTGTGGTACTGCCGGAAAACCTTGTGTCCCTGGGAGGTGGGAGTATTACCTCTCCTGGTCATAAGGGAAGATGCCCCTCAGCTTCCGTAGTTTCACAGCGCTATTAGTTGGTGAGAGAGAGAGAGAGAGAGGGCCCCCACCTCACCTGTCTCCTTATAAACTTGCTCTGTAGACTGTTTGGGTTCCTGAAGTGGCTGTCTTGGCCAAGAACAGAACGTAAATTTGAGGACTGGAGAGATTGTGTAATAAGTGATGAAACTACCTGTCTACAAAAGACTCTAGTTATCATGGTGGTGATGGGGATGTTCGCTGAGTTCTGACATGGACAGCAGGCCGCTGCACAGTTACACACTATGCAAAGTAGTAGAGGGGAGGTAGTCTGTCTTCTGGGGGCGTTTTCTTGCCAGTTCTCTGGTAAATTTGCTGTGCCTCAGTATGGCAAAAACTGGATGTTTTGGAATAAGCCAGGATTTTAGTGAATGTGGTTGATTATCTCCCAGATGCCATGTTGAATGGGTGGGTGTAAATCTTAAATGTTCTAGAGAAGCTGAAGTTGTGGGCAGGGTGAAGACAGTTTTGAGTAGTTCCACGTTGCTTAGGAGTTGAGGTGAGGGAAGATGGCTTTGCAAGCTGCCTGAGCTGGTGGCATTGATGTTTCCTTCTGAAACGCTGTAGGCTCTGGAGCTTTCCATCTCATAGCTTTCTGTTATGTTTAGATCAGCAGAGTGGTTATGGGAAAGTATCTCGGCGAGGTGGTCATCAAAATAGCTACAAACCATACTAAATTATTCCGTTCGCAACTTACCCTGAACAGGTATGTCTAAATATATACTTACAACCTTTTTATGTAATTAATAGTAATTTTTCAAACCTACTGTGTAAGATACTGTAATGATTAATGTTTTAAAATTTCACAGCACCCAGACGTGCTTACCGTAATGTAACATAATGACTTTGAAGATATGTAACACAGGTGCTCTTAAGCTTTTGCCTTTTGTCCTATAATTAACAAGTCAGTAAAGTTAACAGGTAAAGTACTGCTAATGGGTACAAATTAAGGAATTGCAGCGAAACAATATTGCCTACTAACTCTGACATTATACCTTGTTTGTACCCGCCAGCGGGAACTTCATTGCAGGCCCTGTGTCGCGCTGACTTCACGATTCTCACAGGCCCGCTCAATGCGGACAGGGTACGAGATGCTCACGCTCTCGAATGCTGCCGTTTGGTATGGTCTCTTCCAACATCCTGTATCAGCATTATAAAATAAAATGGATACTTCAAGCTTTGCCTTCACTTATTTCTTTGCTTTTAAAACTATATGTAATGTAATTTTAATGCGTTTTTTACAGGCCCAGTAATGGTTAAATACGTCAGCTTACTGAATAATTTTAACTTTGTTCTTCTAAGGATACAGCTTGTCTCTGGATTTTCCAGTCTTAATTTTATATTTTATTAATCTATTTTAATGCTTGCTTTTCCCATTTATAGACATTGTAGCAGTAATTGCAAGAAGTTCTTGAGCTGAATTCCTGTTGTGTTGACTTCTTAGCTTCTGAACACAATCCTACTATAGTACTTAATGTAACCTTTTCTTTTAGTTGTGTTTTCTTAACGGTTAAGCTAATAATATTCTATAGTGGGTCAGCACAATTCTTAAATGCAACTTTTGGGCCCAAAAGGTCCATCCACCAAAATAATTTTGGTGGTGGTTATGGGTATCATAGGTGTTTTGTAACGTCTAAGACTAGAAGCATTTTCTAAGTGAATTTACAGCATACCATGAAAAACTTGTCTTAAACATTGGTGCACATGTGGATTTCCAGCTCATGGACTCTCCTGTTCAGCTTTAATTTAAAAAGCATATATTTACATGATTAATGTTGATATACTATATTTACATAGAGTGGGAAATAGGGGTATCTAAAATGCAGTTGTCTGCTAATAAAAGACAAACAAACAAACAAAAACTTTTCTGCCGGCTGGCAATCTCCACAGAATGACTTTTTTTCTTTTTTCTTTTTTCTAGGTGGAGATGCAGTATTTTCTCATTTGAAGATTCATTTGAGGTGGCACATGCTACCTGCTAGTAGCAGTTCAAACTAATTTTTGTATCAAGTCCATGAATTGGAAGTAAGACGTTGGGTCCCTCTGAAGTTTTAATTGAGTTTTCATTAAGCAAAATTGCTTTCACGGTCTTATTTCTTAATTGCTATGCTTAAGAATCAATTTGTTTTATGCCCCTTCCTCAGTATTGTAGCGCAAGTCTTGTGTTCAAAAGCCCAGTGTGACAGTGTCATGATGTAGTAATGTCTTACTGGTTTTTTAATAAATCTTTTTGTATAAACGTGTGTTGACTCTTTGTTGCAAGTTTTGAATCGGAAATGCAGTTTCTGTTTTACGGTGGGTATTGGTGTTCTGTCATTGAAGGAATGGCATTAGTTAGGTACTACGAAGTTATAAAGGGGACTTGTTTTCCAGAACCAGTTCTTTTCTTGCCAAATGCCTTACGGAACAATGATGTAATAGTTTTCTTTTAAAGTACAGTATAGAAACAACATTGACCTTCAAGGACGACTTAATAGTTGCCTGGCTGCAGGAAGAGGAGGAAGGGATAAAGGACCAGAATTAACAAATCTGACTTTCCCTGGGCAACAGCGAGCAAGGCCTGTGTTGAATAAGTTACTTAAGAGGAGGGAGGTTGCAAAGAGGTTCTACAAGCTGCAGGCTGGACCAAGCTATGGCTCCTATTTCATGTGCCCAGTTCCTATGTGATTTTAGTAACAAATTGCTGGACAGTGTTAATGGGTGACCTGCCTCTGAGTTTTGAAAGGCCTCTTGGCGCTCTGCACAGAACAAGCCTGCTACTTAGCTCTACATTAAACCGTGTAATAATGCTCTGAACTTTGATGGCCAGGGAATTTCTCAGAGTTGGTGACTCAGTGGGGATAATGGTCCACACAAAAGTCAAGGAACAGTTTTCTGTATCTTAGACTGCCGATTTGGAAAGTATGCAGGAATTTTACCAACTGTTTATTGTTAGCAGTTGTCATAGTCTTGGAAAATTCCCAACAGCATATGACGTGGAAAAAAATGAGGTAAATACAGGGTATGATTACTGGTTTCATTACATTTGGAACTTGTTGATCACTTAGGTGTTGAAGTAGCAGTAGCAAATGCTGTAAAAAGATACCTTGTAGGCAAGGTGCTGCACCTGAGCTTGGGTCTGTACCTTTGCATTTTTCCAGATGGCAGATCTCCATTTAAACTGCCATTCTGTCTCTGCAGCAAAACTGCTAGGAGCTGGTTTTACAGGCTGGCTTACTGCAGAGTAACGTTTAAAATTCCTTATATCTGAATGAAAGTTTCTGCGCTTCATCTCTGTGCACATTGAAGGTTCGCTCTTCACAGTACTGACTCATGATTAGTCCAGAGTAGAACTGTAAGTGTAGCTGCATTTCTGTGTTACAGTGGATGTGGAACTGAGCACAGTCTGCCTAGTATCAAACAGATTAAGAAGGGGGTTTACCCTACTTAAGGTTTGCTTCTAGTCAAGTTGACATAGGTTGTAATAATCTCCTGATGGTCCTTCTGAGCTGGAATCGGATGCGAAAGATTTCCAGCCAAGAACAGACATTATGCACTCAAACCTGTAGGGAGTGTCATCATGTGGTCTAAGGGCCTGGTTGTACCTCTTGGGGTATGCAACACCCTGTTGTAGTAGTAGTGCCTGCTGATGCTGTGAAAGGTAAGGTAGAGATAGGAAAAAAATGAGAGGTAATAAAGCCACGACCTGGAAGGGAAGGTTACTGGCCAGCTGGCTTAAGAATGAACTGGTGTTTTGTTATTAGCACAGCGATTCTATGAGAAAGTGAAGATGCAGGGAATGCCGTAACCAAATGGATCACAGAAGATTATTCATTTGCCTTTATGGCCCCTTCAGAAAAAAAGGGGAGTCAGAAGTATGACTTGTTCTGTGTGCATCTGCCTATGCATCTGCAGATGTATTTCCTATGCAGTAAGAGATGAAAACTAGGTTGCTTGCTTGTGGACTTCAGCCCTGAGCAGGGAGATAATTGTCACTTGGAGTTGCTTCCTACCACTTGCAAACAGCTGCCAGTCTCCAGTCTTTAACTAAATCCTTAAGCTTGGTCCTTGTAACACTTAAATAGGACTGAAAATGGGTTGGTTGGACATGCTCAGCACGGTTTAATAAGCATGGGGAGGCAGTGCATATGCTGCCTCAGCTTCCATTTAACCTGTGCTTTGCAATGCTTGGCCAGTAATTGCTATGAATTCTTTGTATATGATGTTTGTAGCACATTCTACATTACATGCCAGCAGTTAATAAATGTATTAAGCCCTTGTATTTTTTGGTCTTTTCCTAGTTCTCAAATGCACTTGACCATAGGAATGTAATTTTTGTCCCTAGTCTCTGTTCCTTCACCCGTGACATGTGAAGCTGATAGTTTGTCCAGCTTCCCTTTCGTGCTAGGCATGTCCAGCACACACTGAGTAAGAACTAATGACACGTGTATGTAACACTGGGTTGTGAAAGCAACTCCAGTTCTTGATTACTTGCTGTATCCCTGAACACCTTGTGCTGTGCATAAACTTCTTGGGGAAAGAGGCTCAGCTTTGCTGCCAGTAGACTTACTGAAGGAACTTCCCTAGGTAACTTGTTGTTTCTCAGGCTGCAGCTGGGTAACACCCGGAATACTGACTTCAGCTTGATTGTGGGGGTAGGGGTAGGTTGTACAACAGCAACTTCGGCTCGGGTGTCCCCAGGTTAGTAAGGAGAGGGAGTAACATGCAAGTGTTGAACTTGATTATCTTTTTGTCTTAGAAAAATGAAGCTTTGTTTGGAGTCTCACAAAAGCAGGCACCTGAATTCTTCCCTGACAAATGCGATAGAAGAGTTCTTGGCTTTCAGTGCAGTGCTATGGCTACACAGCTTTGCTTTCTCACTGTGTAAGCAATGAAGTGAATGGCTGAACGGTTTGGTTTCCAGGTGTATGGGAAGTTCAGCGCAAATGGCCCTCTCTTTTGTCTCTTGTGAACAATGAGGAGGAATGTTTTATAGCGACCTCAGGGTTTCAGTCTTGTAAATTGGAATTTGGAATTTCTCAGACAGGAGTCACCTGTGGCAAATGATGTTCTCAGCGTGCTCCCTTGCTTAGGAACAGCAGAAAAAGGTAGTTCAGCTGGATTTGTCCGTGCTCTGTACTACATCTGTGGAAGCCCAGGGCTAGTTTTTGCTTCAAATATCTATCACCTAAACTCTTAAACTTTGTGCTTGAAGTTAGAGATGTCAAGGTTCCCTGCGCGTCTTTTGTAAGGTGACATTGTCAGTGTAGTTCTTCAAAAAGAGCCAGCAGTTTGTAGTTAAGAGACAGAACTTGCATCTTTTCTTCCTGGAGGGATAAGAGCACTTCAGTGGGTACCAACATGCATCATCTGTTGGGCAGGCTGGTGGTCTCAGTTTAAAATAAAACAAGCAGGTAGGATGTTTCCATGGACAAGTCTGGCTGTTTCAGTTACCCAGAAACTGGTAGCAGCTTTTTTTTTTTTTTGTAATGAGTTTTAACTGTAACTGGCAGAGGATTTGTTCAGTTACCGGGGGACTTGAGTCTACAGTGTGCTCCTTAGTGGGAGAAAGTACACAACGGGCAACTTCATGGAGGGAGAAGCAGGGGGGTTGCATTCTCTTAGGCTCAGCAAGTCAGACTTGATTTTGAGATTTGAATTATTAAGATGAATATATCATCAAGAAGGCATACTTGGTGGAAGAATCTCAACATTCCTTACTGAACAAAGCGCAGGGTATTCCTCTCACTGCTGATTTTAGAGCTCCTTTGAAATAATGGGATTGGGATGGGTGCAAGGAGGCTGCACTGGCTGTTAACCTTCTGCTTGCTGAGGTCTTCCAGCAAGCCGCTTCCTACAGCCAGGTAATGGCAAATAATTACAAAACAGGACCCTGTGTGTCTCCAGAGTGTTTACTTTTTAACTGGAAGCAATGTCTGTCATTATCTGGTGGAGGTAATTGTCTTGTAGGTACAGCAAATCTCTGCCTTGGTTGCTGCAAATCACTGGTGAAAAGCAAAGAGACAGGGAAACAACTGGCAGCTCAAGCATGCGTAGCTGAGAAAGAGCTGTACAAATTTGTTTCTCATAGATGTCATTTTTCTTTGAGGTGATATTCTAATAAACGATATTTTTTTGTGTGTGTCCCTTCCAATAGTGTGATATCAAAGCTGAAAATGAAGTGATAAGGAGCAGAAGTATCTAAAAAAGGAGGACTTCCCTAAGGACGTTTGAGGACAAATGTGTATGATTTCTGAGTTTCTCTATGACCTAGCTGGTTTTGAATCGGGTCAGCATCACCAGCTGGCCCAAAGTTTCTCTTTTGACAGAGAACTACAGCAACTGGAAGACAACGACTTTTACTTTTGAAAGAGCTAAACCCTGACAATTCCTGACTGAGGCCTCACTGTGATACATGAAAGCTTTATTCACATATTTTTGTTTAGTTTTGCATCTTTGTTTTCCTGAGTTTTCCTTCCCCCACAAGGATGATTTTAGCTATTTGCTGAGCAAAGTTGATAAATAGATAACATCTGCCTGACATCGAGGAGACAAAGCTCCAGATACCAAGGAGATATCAAGGAGACCCGTCTAGTGCACCACTGATTGTTACAAAGGGTTGCATCAGAAAAGGGGCCCTGGCTTGTGCTCAAGTAGGAGGATTCAACTAGAGGACAGCATGAGGAAGACTATGAATGCTGGGAACTCATCACCATAAGACTGCCTTTCTCAGGGACTCTGATGAATATGTGTGATTTTTGTGTATAGGAACTGATGGGTTTTGCTTTTTTTTTCCCATAGGAGCACTCATGGTGGAACGATCCCCAGCGCTGCCCAGCGCTGCAATAAAGAATGCCTGCTTAGTAACACCCTGTTGTTATTGAGTTTTCGTCTTGGAATCCTTACCCAGCCGCACCGAGCCTCCCACCTCAGTGAGGAGTGTTAGAAAGCAAGGGGGCTTGGAAGCTCCAAATTTTGTCTCAGTTTTGGTGACCCAGGTGGGACACTCTCTGTCCGGCTGCAGGAACCCCTGAGTTGGAGACTCCCTTGGCTGGCCCCAGAGACTTCTCTGGAGGGACTCCCTGATTTGGTGGTTCCATGTGGGGGCAGACAAGGACCACTGGTAAGAAAGGCATTCTTTTTGGGTTTTGGGACCGGTCATTTGAAGCTGCTCATAAGTCGTGGTTCGTGTGAACCCTACCGGCTGGCATACGCTTGCACGTACGATTTGTATTGGTCATTTGGTCACTATGTTGCATGGTTG